CTCAGATTCTCCAGCATCTGCAGTTCCTACTATCTCTGCTATACTGAAGAGATCTTTTTGTCCCTTTTTGGTATCCACAAACTTCTCCCTTGGCCAGGGCTCCTTTTGTTTTTGATATTCGCTCGTACGACATGGATGTCACTGGCTAGCCAGCATTTTATTGCCTTTGAAGGTTATGGTGAGCTACCTTCTTGAACCATTGCAGTCCATTTGGTGTAGGTAGACCCACAATGCCATTAGGGAGGAAATTCTAGGATTTTGACTCAGTGACAGTCCAGGAGCAGTGATATAATTCCAAGTCAGAATGGTGAGTGGCCTGGAGGGGGCCTTGTCGGTAGTGATGTCCCCATGTATCTGCTAGCGACCACTTACTTTGAACTCCTTTTTGCCCTATTTAAATTTGTTGTTTTTCATGACAGGGAATTTTCTGAGAACTCCTCCCACTTTTTAAAATGGGTTTTCCACTGAACTTCCTTCAAAGTTCCAGAAATGGAGAGGATATTCTCAACCCCAAGGATATTCTCAATTACTGTCATCTCACGAATATCAGATACTAGGAGCTGTCTGCTGTGGTTCCACTGCCTCTGCAGCTAATCTAAATATTTTTACCTTTGTTGGTGAATAACTACTGTTACACAAGTGGATGAAGCAGTACCATGACATCTCATTTTTTCCAGTTGTCACAGGGTGCTTGCTTTATATGGTAGGAGGAACTTATTTTACAGCTTTGAAACTGTACAGTAAAATGCCGTGATGTAGTTTCCTGCCTACGCTATGAGTATTTCCACCTGCCCTTTTATATAGACCATGTGATATAGTTGCACTGTTTAGAGTCTCTGCACTTGTATGTTGGATTAACAGCTTTATACGATGACTTCTACTTTAAATGCTGTTCACATGAAGTAAGGGCATGGTAGTTGGCACAATAATCTTCATAGGTAAGCATTTTGTCTATAAGAATTTAATCAATTATCTAAAAGATTATAATAACCAAGCAAGCTGATAAAATTAAAATGAGAATGATAGTTGTGTCTGACAGATTTGCTTGCTTTCGGGTTAGGTAGTAACCCCAACATTACCCAATTGTACAACCCTCCAAGACTTCTATGCTATTCCAATACTGGCCTCTTACACAGTCTCTATTTCAATCTCTCCGTCATTGGTAGCCGTGATTTTAGCTTGGATTGGAATCTCCTTCTTAAACCTCTCATTCTCTCAACTTCTCACTCTTTCTTTCAAGTGATCCTTCAAACTTTCCTCTGTGACAGATTTTGGCTATCTATCTTAATATCTCCCAATGTGGTTCAGTATCATATTTTGTTTAATAATGCTCCTGAGAAGCATGCTGAATGGTCTACTATGTAAAAGGTGCTTTATAAATGTGATTTGTTGGTGTTTGTATTGAAATTATGTGATGCATATAGAAATGTTTAAGAAATGACAACAGAAGCTGGCTTATTCTTGAACTGACTTGTCTGCTGCTCAAAATCTTGATGGGATGTTTTGTGTCTCTACTTCAGAGGACAGCAGCAATTATCTTGATAATGCAGTCTCCTGTGCAACTTGCTCAATAGAATTCATTTCAATCCACACCCCAACTCCCACCCAAGCCATACAACATCTTGCCTTGGAACTATGTCACAATTTCTCCACTGCAGGGAGGTCAGAATTCTGAAACTCCCTTCCGAACAGTATTATGAAGGCATTCACACTCCAAAGAGTGTAGCAGTTCAAGAAGTTAGCTCACCACCACTTTCTCAAGTGCAAATAGGGATGAGCAATTAATGTTGGTCTAGCCAGTGATGCCTACCTCCTATGAAAGAACAGAAACAATTCCAATGAGTTTTCATTCATATTAAAAGCAGATTAATGTACCAACCTGAGTACATTTTTCACTGACAAACTTTTATTTCTTCTCTTTAGAAATATAAGAACAGAACAAAGAGGCTAGCTTTACATCACTGGCAGCATTAATGAAGGTTTTAAGTAACTCTGGTTTGGTAAGTTACAGGATTTTGCATGCAATCACTTTTTGAGTTCAATCACATTGCTGTTTAACCTTGTTTACTCAAATACTATACTAAAAGTATCTTCATTCTAACAGTAACCATGGTAAAGAATGAGTCAACAAGCAGCCCATAGCATGACATTATTAGTAAAAAAATAAACCTTTTTGAAACTGAAACATGATACTGAATCATACTGAAACAAAACTAAACAGCTCGTTGAAAGATGTTCAAAAGCCCCCTAAACCTTAAAAAGAAGAGTTAATTTTTATCTGCTATTTATTTTTAAGGAAAGGAAAATGAGATGAAATACCTTTGCAAAAGGTAGTGTTTAATTGCTGAGTGAACTGTGTTACATTCTTGTCTGTGTGGTACTGTTGCATATATAATTGATGAGAGTATGTATTCAGCTGAGCTGCAAAATGGGAATTTATTTGTGGAACTGTGTAAGTGTGTGTTTTGTGAATTACAGGAATGTTTGTAATTGTGGATGTGTACTTATGTATGTGATGCCTGTGTATCTGTGTGTAATGGTGTGCAAATATGGAGCAATATAATGGTATGTAGGGGGTCTTGGTGTTTATATACATCTGTGTGAGAACTGATCATAATAAAGATTAGAATGAATATTTTTCTGCCATTTATATGATTAATACATGAAGTGTCAGTTATGAGGATTAAATCGTATAATCAGACACACTAGAAATGAGGTGGTGAGATACATGGAGGACAGAAATGAAAGGATACTGAGGAATTGCTAGCTATCTTCTAGTGCTTGAAAGTTTTGGAGTATTTCTGTTCACATTTAATCAAAATGAATTTGTTATTTATTTTTGACAGTCTAAAACACTAACTGTAAGTAATATGGAAGCAGCCAGTGAGGCTGTGAAGAAAGTGCAACAAGAATCAGTTGAGATGGTGAGTAATAAGTAAATATAACTTCTTTTACTCTAAGGAATTGCGAATGTTTGCTCTAAGTAGACATACTTAGATTACATTTGATAGATTCATGATCTTATTATGTTTATTAAGTTTTGAATATTTTAAATTGAGGTAGGTAGGTAGATCAGATAGGTAAAAGTAATATTCAAGATAAAATATTGTTGGGCGGTGGAGAGTGGTGGTGGGGTGGCACGACATTGTCTCAGTTTTGCTTTTGGGTGTTTCAGAGTTCCTCAAGTATCTCACTGCAGTGTGTTTTTAACCTTCAGGCACATGATCAGAACTATAGAGTGGTATTGTCAAAGAATGAGGACTTGTCAAATTCCCTGATTGGTGAGTTTGAAAACAAGCTAACACATTCTCCCGCCAGATGCAGTAGCCTGTGATTTGCCTGCTGTTTTTGTGCTGATGTAAGCATGATGCAAGTTATTTATAAAGCACCATGCCTCATCAACGTACTTTTTACAGCTTTTAAAGTCATATTAGAAAACACAAAAACGTTTGAATCAAATATTATTGGACGTAAGCTTTAAAATGAGTCTACTTAGACAATATTTTAAAGGTAAGTTGTAGACAATTTGTTAGGAGTTTATTAAAGATTGATCAATTTACACCAGTGATTGACAATCCATCAGAGTATGTACACGTCATTTGTTATTATTAATGGAAAGAGAATCCTAGAAAAAAATCCATGATAGGTTAAAGCATGTATGTTCTCCATGTTATTACTATGTTAGCTTCCCATATATAGATGCTAAAATCAGTGAGAAGCTGTTCTGATTACAAGGAGAAACAATGATTTGTGTAAAATCAGCTTCTTGGTGTTAGTTCCCATGATATTCTTTTCAAATTCAACATGATGCAAATTGAATTTCAAAATGAAGACTTTTTCTTCATTTTTAATTATTTCTTATCAAGTTCAATTTTCAATTGCTGGCTTAAAATATTTCGGAGAGTTACATATGATTTTTAAGTCACCAGACTGCAATTTTCCCACAATGTTCAGACTGGATTGTATTAAACATTGCATTCCTATTTCAAAATACAGGGAATAGAGGAAATATAAAGAGAGAAACTACTTTTAAGCTGTACTGAGTATTCTAACCTCATTATGTTCTCTTGTAGGTAATGAACGCCCCTTTGCTACTGAAATAAACCAACTCCACATACCAGTGAAACAGCAAGCAAAATATGATATGTCAACTCTCAAGTCAGGAAGAAAGCCTTCAAAACCGTCAGAGAAACATCAATGTCAAATTCAGTCCCAAAGTATGTTGGTGCAAACTGCTTCTGGAAGCTCTGCTAACAATAGAGGGAGACCAACAGCCATTCCAAAAATGTATTGCAATTTCGCAAAATGTTTTTAATGCTTTGCAGAATGTGTTATGCAGTTTTTAATCTGCAAGTGCATTTCAGGTGAATCCCACCCTACATTTCTACTAAAAAATTATCAACTTGAAATATTATCTTGTATCACTTGACATAAATGCTGCCTGACCTGCTGAATATTTCTCATCCAGCATTTTTGTCTTTATTTTAGATTTCTAGCATCTCCAGTGTTTTGCTTTGTATAACACTGCCTTTGTTCTGAAAATTAGTAACAGGATTGCATTACATTGTACTGTTGCCAAATAGCTGAGAGGCGCAAATCCACTTTGTACTCTAAACCTCTAAACTTTCCTAGGAATTTTGCTATGGTTATTTTGGCTCCTGAATGCATATATTTTTATCAGCATGAAGATTGATATAAAAATTAGAAGTTTTTGAACTCAGTGGTCTGATGGATAAAATTGTACCTTGTATACTGTAATAGATTTTCCTATCCTATTCATACATGGTAAAGTATGAACAATTTCTTTCTTTCTCCTCCAGTTGAATTTGAGGCTGGCTTGAAGCACAATAAGAAAACCAAAATTAAAATCCCTTGGTCTTCCCGCAAAAACTCAACACAAAGTGAATCCATCTCTTCATACAATGAAGGTCTCTTCGATCGGCATCTTAAAGATATCTGCAATCATAATGAGATGATTGCAAAGCCAATCCTTGTAAGTTAACAGTTACATCTATTTTTGGTCTAATGGAAAGAGTTAATGCATACCACATAATGAACAATGACATTAAACTAAACTAAATTGAATATCCAAGCTCATATTTTGGCCCAATTATTCCAAGTTGGTATATTTAAATGGGCTCGATAGTTGTGTCACATTGACGTAATAATTCATGAAAATGATCTATGGAAACTTGTGTCTTTCCCTGTAATGTAAAATCTTGTCTCTGATAATTGAAAGTTAGTGAAAGCATTAAAAGATAGCACTATTTTCATTCATAGTTTAGATTCAATCAGGATTTTACAGATCCAGAGGAGAGGAGAGAATTGCAAACTGAAAGTTGTTTTTGGAGTAAATTATTTCTCAAAACAATCAAGAATTCTTATTTTGTGTTTCATTTCACTCTAGAACATCCTGACTATTCTGTTCAAGAAAGGACCCTCATTTGTTGGAATATTTCGGAAGTCTGCAAATGCTAAAGCTTGCAAGGAATTAATTGAAAAACTAAATGCGACAAGCAACATCACCCTGGAGGAGGAGCCTGTCATTCAGCTGGCTGTTGTTTTCAAGGTAGATCATTGTTCTAAGGAGCAATGTAACATTTTAATTTCAGTTCTTTTTCTTTACTAGCAGTCCTCATGACTAATTTAAAGTACATGCTTGCAGGAATTCCTACGTCGTATTCCAGATAGTTTGTTGATGACAGCACTGTATGACAGCTGGATGGCAGCCATGGAAAAGGAGAATATTAATGAAAGAACTCGGCAGCTCAAACAGTATGTTTCACCCTATTGTGAGAAATCAGCTGGGAACCTCTGATTTTGTTTGAGTACCATTTATGTTTTGAAATGTCCTTGCTAGGCAATGATACCAAATTGCTTATCAAATCAAGATCAAGAAGATACTCAAAATATTCTGTGTAGCATGGATTTCTGTCATACTTCTGCTATTATATTTTATTGATTGGCTCAAAGTACAGGTTGTTCTCCTATAACGCAATAGTTGCGCTCTTGCGTGACCTCGTGCCATAGAAAATCACACTATAGAAAATCGTCATGGAAAATCTAGGTGGATTGGCCATGCCAAATTGCCTTTAGTGTTCAGGGATGTGTAGACTGCGTGGGTTGTAGGAGGATGAGTCTAGGTGGGATGCTGTGAGGGTCGGTGTGGACTTGTTGGGCTGAAGGGCCTGTTTCCACACTATAGGGATTCTATGGACAGCTCTATGAAAATTGCATTTTCGTGAAATCGCTATAGAAAATCGCTATACCCGTACAGCAGAAAGTTTGCGTTATCCAAACAGCGTACACTATTCATCAATCATGTTACAGCCATTTTGCATTAATGAAACATGCGTCATAGAAGAGCTACCTGTAAATTAACAGCAAATCAGAATCAGAAGGCCACATGACAAATAAAAACATCTAAGAAATGGCTTGAGAAATTAATGGCTTTGATAGTATAGATAATATAGCACAATCTGCAATCATTATAAAACAGCATACCTCTGACCTACAGTGAACACCAACAAGAACATGTAATAGTTTTAAAGATTTTATCAAAATAAATAACTAAATATATTGGCGTCTACATGGTTCTCTGCTTTCCCAAGTGTATCATCAATCGCTGCATTTTCTTTTCAAACAATTATTCATTAAAGTGAACTGTTCTGGTCATCAGATTGTTGAATAAGTCTCCAAATATGGGCATGGCTTCTGAAATCTGGACTCATGTGATATGAGGATATTTTTGCCAAAATTCAAAAATCATTAATTTGACTTTGTTCAAACCGGTTACAAAGATATGAAACCCATAGCCGGGGACTTCTTAATGCATATTTATTAAACTGCTGCTATTTTGGAGAAATATTTAATTGAGTAAGCAAAGTTTTAATCTGCAGCTAACCAAATTGTCATTCTACTATTTTCCCTTAGGCTTCTGACAGAGCTTCCAAGCCACAACTCTCTTTTGCTTCACTATTTGTTTTGTGTGCTGTATTATATCAACAAACATTCAGAAGTGAACAAAATGAATGCTCATAATCTTGCAATCTGCATTGGCCCAAATATGCTCTGGCCAAACAAACCTGTCACTGCTGAATTACAGAAAGAAGTCCTTGCAAGGGTAAATATACTGTGTGCTTTTCAATATATTTATATTCGCTCTTGAGATGCAGTCATTGTTTAGGTAGGCTAACATTTGTTGCCCATCCCTAATTGCCTTGATAAAGTGGTCATGATTGAGCAGTCTTGTTTAGCTGTTGCAGTCCATTTTGACCTGGAAGTATTATTCCGTACATGCGTAAAGACCGAGAGCAGATCTTTGTTGAGACATTGATGGTCTTGCCTACAGGCTAAAGGGCTAGTGACAGACCCACGCTGTGTCTTTAGAAGATGGAGGTCTGTACCACAAGCTAAACAGGTATTGGCAAGCAAGGGCACTGACAAGCTGTCAAGCAAAATCATGAACATGAGAGCAGAAATCTTGGCTCATTGGGAGCTACCCACTAATCCGAAACCAGCAGTTCTTGTTTTCAATAGTGCCACATATCTGCTGCAGTAAGAAAACGCGCTGAAGTCTCAGAATTATGATACGATCTTGGCCACAGAAAATTAATGTGGGGAGTGGGGCTTTTGCCAGGTAGGTGTCATAGGGATACAGATGCAGGAGGAGTCGGCAGAAAAGGAAGAGGGCTTGTTCTCAGTGGACCCCACCCATTCCTAACGTCAAGGCCCTTGATCAGGCACTGAGGGCCTATGATTGAGAAAAGACCACCCCACACCCCTGTGAGGTGACAAGCTGCTCACATGGTTTCAGCTGCCATGCAAGCCCAATGGTGAGAGGCCTGCATGCTGCTGAGTTAGTATCAAAGGCAAATGATAGGGTTTTACTTGGTCATTAACTCTTTCATTGGACCTTCACTGCTGCTGAGTCAAAACCCCGATATTCCCATTTTAGTTGCACTGTGGGTATACCTACACACCAAAGATTGAGGAAGTTGAAGAAGGCAATTCACCACTACCTTCTCAGGGATAATTAGAACAATAAATGCTGGCACAGCCAGAGAGTGACACCCATATCCCATGAATGAATTAAAAAATCTCTTAAGGACCTCAGTTTGCAGCAACTTGGGGAGAATGACCATGGTCTTCCTTCCCAGGACTTAATTTCAGGCAGAAGGGGAAAGGTGCAGAAATTTAGATACACCATCATCCTGCCTATTTAAATTTCCTTCCTGCCTCTAAGCCCACCACCAGGGAAAGGCAGAACAGCCTAGGTTTTGTTTAATTCTGTAATACAGTGAGCATTGAGAATCTTGAAATTACAAGGGGAAAAATACCAATTAGGATCAATAGTCATTGATAGTCACTCTGTCAACCATTTTATTGTGAAACCCTGAAGGTTCTTTCCTCTAACCTAAGATGTACAGAAGATTTGGAATTATCTGAATTAAGTTGATGTCAACATTTGTCTGAACGTTCCACCATTCAGAACGAAATCGCTATAACTAAACTTCTAGACAGCCCTCTGATCTCATCTTCTACAACTTTTTAGCTCTTTGATTTATTACTCTTTCCTTCTCTGTGAGGAATATTGGAACATTTTCTATGTCAAAGCCCAATATAGATGCAGAAGATTATTGTTGCTTGTTCATCGTGTGGCAGTTTCCTTTGATGCTGTAAATATCAGTTGGGCCACCTTAAAGCTCAGCACATGACTCACTATTAATATCTTGAACGGCAGGAATTCTAACAATAAAAGACAATAATACCTGAAACATTTGCAGTGTGTTAAACCACTTTATAAAATAATATTGTGAAGGAGATGAGATATCTGAAGAAATTTTTCATCTGAAAACCAACTAAGCTTAAACTGCGGCCATCTGATTTGATGATTAAATTATTCATATCTGGGTGATTTAGGCATTGGCTTCTGATGTGAATGATAAATACTTGTTGTATCAACAATGAACACATAAAGATGAATAGAGATGGAAAATTTGACATGATGCACAGGGTGATGGAGGAGCTTATTCAGCCTATAATGTTTAAAGGTATGACAAATTTCAGTTATGAGGATAACTTGAAGAAGTTGGGACTGTTCCCCCTGGAGAGAAGAAGTCTGAGAGGAGATCTGATTGAGGTTTTCAAAATCATGAGTGGGCTGAACAGAATAGATAAAGCGAAGCTGTTTCTTAAACATGAATGAGGGCATAGATTTAAGTGATGTGCATATGGCGCAAGGGTGGTATGAGAAAAAGACATTTTTATACATCGAGTTATTATTATGGAATGCACAGGCTGGAGAAGTGATAGGGGCCGGTTCAACTGAGGCATTCAAGGGGGCATTGGATGATTTTTTAGATGGTAATGGTATGCAGGGATTTGGGGAGAAGACAGGAGATTGGCACTAGATAACAGAACTGGACTAGATGACAGAGCTGGTTGGGTTGAATGGGCTTCATAATAGTTCTGTGATAGTAACGTAAGGAAGCTGTTTTGAATTTACTAAGTGCTAAAAGAGCATTTCAGAGCAGGCCAATTGTTGGAACCATCAAATATCAAGGAGCAATGGAAGACTGAGAAAGACAACTGCGTGGTATCCAGAGGTTTTGAGGACATTATTTTGCAATACTTAATTTCTATTTAATGGCTGTGACAGTTGTCCTTTAGGAAGGGAAGATGCTGTCCTTACCTGGTCTGGCCTACATGTGACTCTAGGTCCATAGCAATGTGGTTGATGCTTAACTGCCATCTAGGCAATTGGGGATGGGCAGTAAATGCTGGCCTAGCCAGCAACACCCTCACTCCATGAATAATTTTAAAAAATCTAATTTGCTTTTCAAATTATCTGCTAAATCATCCTTAAAATCAGAAATATTCTCTGGAGAATTTTTCAAGTTTATTCCGACTGATGTTTCTGGTATGATTATCAAAACTAAATATTTTCATTACAGGTTGTGGATCTGATGCAGTTTCTGATTGAGAACTGTTGTCTAATATTTGGGGATGATATAACCACACTTCTTGGTGAACCAGTGCCAGTGCTACCAGAATGCAGTGATAAAGCAGGTAAGTCAATGTGGTTTGCTTCATGCATGACATTAAGAACTTCATTTGGCAAGGTGTAACACACACAAAGCATTTTACAACCTATATTTGAATTACAGTTGAAATGTATTCATTATTATGTTGAAGGCTAATATCGTAACAGGTTTACATGCAGCAAGTCTCCATTAACAGCAAACATGATGCTGGGGGTGACATGGCGTGTTGGATTCCAGCCTCGGGTGACTGTCTGTGTGGAGTTTGCATATTCTCCTTGCATCTGCGTGGGTTTGCTCTGGTTTCTTCCCACAGTCCAAGAATATGCAGGTTAGGTGGACTGGCCATGCTAAATTGTGCATAGTGTCCAGGAGAGTGCAGGCAAGGTAATTTAGCCATGGGGAATGCAAAGTAACAGGAAGAGGGTGGGGGGTGGGTTTGGGTGGGATGCTCTTCAGAGGGCTGGTGTGTACTTGATGGGCCGAATGACCTGCATCCACACTGTAGGGTTTCTAAGATAACAAGGTGTAGAGCTGGATGAACACGGCAGGCCAAGCAGCATCAGAGGAGCAGGAAAGCTGA